AGAGTGAAGGTGAGGAATGGGAGGAAATTTATCAGGAAAGAGGAAAAGAGAATGATATATTTGATAGAAGGAAGGAAGAAAGAAGTTAGACATCCAGCAAATTACTGTTTTCTTATTTACGTTCTGGGAAACACATACTAGGTCAGAGACAACATCTGAAAACCTGTACGTGTAGATAAAAGAAGGCAGCTTAGCTGCACTTTTCGTAAATAGGCTGAGACTCTATCTGCACACAGTGACATTTAATTAAGTAGGTAAGCTGAAAGTGATTTTTTTTTTTTATCCTAAGTTTTAGTTATGGTTGAAAAAGTATTGGCACTTGTAATTTTGTATCTTTATCTGAGCAAAGTTCCATAAGGTAGATTAGGAATTTGCCTACTCTGGGGGCTTTAGCAATATTCTATCTATACAGTCATTTTAATACTATTTTACTGAGTGATTGAAGAACTGGATGGTAACCTCGTCCTGTGACACATTGTTTTAATTGCAGTTATTTGTGTTCACACAGAATAAAGCAAATAAACAAATAATGGATATCTCAGCTAAAAATGGGGGGCTATCAGCCTGCTCAGATGTAGCTTTTTCTTGTAGGGACCTAGTTATGATATGGTGGTTTTGTGGTCTGTATAGGAACTCCTGATCACATAACAATGATCGTTTGGCACCTTCCTCGAGGGGCTCATACTAGTGAGAAATTTAATATTGTAAAAATAACATTTTTAACTGGTGCCACACTTCTGCATGTTTTTTTGTGACACTGCTCTCTGCTGAAGTGATGTAGTAGACGTAACAGGTTTTTACACATGGAAACAATTCTGTTTTAGCAGAGGATTAAGTGCAGATAAACAACATATTTCATAAAAGATTGTTATATCCTCTCTCCCATTGACACTCCCACTCCCACCCCCAGATAAGAAACATCGCCTGGCATGGCATGCTTTCTTTTAGATCTCCACAGACATTTGCCTGCCACAATGCAACGTAAATTTTGTCTTAGTTATCAGACTGTGATTATTAAATAATAATGGGAAGAGAGATGTCAGCCTGTTCATAAAGCATAGTGATTTTTTTTAGTATAAAAAGAACCTGAATTAAAAGGACCATGCTTTTTTTCATTTGCATACCCTATCTTATAACTTACAGTAATTAATGTAGTTAGAGGAAAATATGAAAGACAAGCTTTTCAATTTCTTTTCTTTGTGTGTGTGTGAGAAGTTGATCTTGCTTGCTGATCTGAATTAGTACCAGAAGATGCCCGTCTTGAATGAGACAGAGCTCAGAGAAATAAGATCTGGTGGTTGGAGGTGTCACACACCCACTGCCCCTCTCTGGAGGCATTGCAAAACTGTCATACTGAAATCCAGCACTCTTCTGCCAGAAACCATGCAAGAGATGACCCTGACTATTCATTGTGACTGATAAACTTTAAGATATATGATATCTTCCTTTTATTCTGAATCTCCTCTTTTCAGTTTCGCTTCCTTCCATTCAAACACCAAAATCCTTCTGGAACAGCAAATGCCAAACAAACATCCAGGCTGAAATGGTAGATCCATTTGCTATTAGTGTATCTTTCTTCTTTCCTCTACCCCCTTTCTTTTCTGAAGAAACCACTTGTTTGCTTTCTCTTTGTTTCTTAGCTGTTAGAAAGCCTTTAAAAATGCTTTTACTTCCCTGTCACGGCATTATGCTCTTTGGAGGGAGGATCAGCTGGAGTCGTGGCAAAGAGAACTGCTGTCCTGGTAGTTTTATTTTGTATTCACCATATGATTCCCAGAATTGCATTGTTCCTTCGCAGAGGGGGAAGATTGTTCTCTCATGCAAATCACTGGTCCTTTGCTAGGCTTTTGTAGCCTTCCTGAAATTGTTGGAAAGGATCCTTCTTTCTGCAGAGTGGGGAGGAGGAATTGCACCAGACAGGCTGGCCCCAGTCATTTTATCCCTTTCCTGTGTCTTACAGCTCCTTTTGAGGAGCAGGCACCAGGCAGTACCTATCCTGATTTCCCAGGGCTTCTGCTGCTCTTGTGCATTTGGTGCGCCAAATTCAGCAGCATTATTTGACTTAAATCGAGACTTGCATTGGTATGAGTGTACACAGAATCTGGCCCACAGCCTTGTCTGTATGCAGAAGTATTCTTGCTCATTTAAGCGGAATTGATAAATAGGCGTTTTTTCTACTGATTTAAGTGGTATATGAAGTTGGTACCAGTTAAACAAAATTAGCGTGTATATGTTATTTCAGCTGGTAATATTTCGTGAGTAGAGGTGTCCACAGATTCAGTTTTCACAGAGCCTTGTTAGTGTTTGTGGAAGTGCAGCTGTTATCCTCAGGAATTTTTCCTTGGAAAGTCTAGCAACAACACAGAGAATGTGCAGCAATAGTTAGGAATTTATTTTAAAAGAAGTGACAAAGTGAAGTAGAAGGAATAAAGCTAGAAACAGTCTGGATAGATCTGCACTGTGATTGAAAGTAGGAGACATTAAACTACCTGTTTCTTGCAAGTGATTTAAGCAGGACAGAAATTTTAATTTAACCCCCATCTCCACAGACATCAGCACATGCGTGCAGAGGATTATTACCACCATCTGTTTTATCCACAGTAGTTTCCATCAATTGTGTTATTTTGCTTTTTTAGTGTTGAGCACTGTTTTGAAGCTGTTGTATTAATTGTTAACTTAAGCTGAATCTGTGCATAGATGCCTATAGCAGTGTCAGCATGCTAAGATCATAACTGTTAGATTAATGAATGGAAGTATTAGATCTGTGTCGGTGCAGTACATTAATAGCTGTGCAAATTCAATCAAATACACTACTGACTTTGTCTTTGTGTAATGGTATTTACCAGATCTTAGACGGACTGTTGAGAAAGATGAATGTAATCTTTCATTTTTATCTGACTTAAAAATAAGGTAACAAAATAATTTTATTATTATTCTTCGCAGCAGGAAAATAGATGTACCTGTAGACTTGAATTCTTCAGAAATGGAATATGCATACATACATTGTGGTGAATGGAAGGAAAACTAACTGTTGGAACCATTATCTTTCATGTAGCTTAATCTCACATTCTGAATTATTGGAATGAATACCAAAAAGAAACAAAAAAGTATGCTTATTCCCTCCTTTTTTTTTTTTTTCTTTTTCCTTCACAGAACCTGAATAAAGTGTTTGTAGAATTTAGTCATCAGGAGCTGTTTGAGTTCTATAACAAGGTCTGTAGATTTTACAATACTGTAGTTTCTTTGTAAACACCTT